AAAAAAAATAAGTTCAGTTTCTTTTGGGTACCCCCTTGTATATATATATATATATCATGGCACCTGAGCCCATCTCAACGGTGTAGTTCATAAATCCTTCCCATCAGTCTATGTGTCTATGTGTATGTCCCCCCATCGTTGCTACCCAATGGCTTGGTAAACTCGTTCTCGTAGGAGTGAATAGGCACAGCAGTAGACAAATTGTTGGACACATTGTTTTCTATTCAGTCTATGTTGTATCAAAGAAGAGTCTGTGGGTCTGTCTGTGTATCCCCTATTGCTGCTAGGCAGTGGCTCAATAAACATGTTCCCATGGCAGTGAAGAAGTGCTGGAGGCATTTTTTTTTCAGTGTGGTCCATGTAGTATCAAAGGAAAGTAGGCGATTAGTTTTTCCCAGAACTTCTTGTTAACTTGTGGTATCCATTCAGGTCCAATGAGTAAAGGGTATCTAAGGCATCATACTGCCAACTCCCCATATGAGTGGAAGGCATAAATATAGCAAGTTGCTGCCTGATGGTCCAGGAGGCTCATTCTTAACACTGGCATATTTCCATCCCAATACCACAACCCACAGCACAGTGCCTCATATGTTGGCTTAGGTGGACCATTTCCTTGTTTGCCATGCTTTTTGTTGTTACCCCTCCATGTTGTGATGCCAGGGCTGGTTTTTTGAAAGATCCCAAATGGCTAAAACAATTTCTTGCTTATGAATGAAAATTGAACAAATTTCTGTGGTGAAGTTCAATGTTGTGAAATGACAGCCTTCCTTTATCATGGGGTGACCAAAATGTGTAGGCTCTCACTAAAATCAGAAGGCTGGAGCTGCTAACAAATGAAAGGTTCATGTTCACAATGCAGGTGATTCATTTTCTTTGGGAACAGGAAATGTTAATGTTGAGATTTCTTCACAGAATCTGAAACCAAAATTGTTCTTTATGACTAAATTGTCCAGTGGAGCTGCTACTGGGGCTACAGATTCTTATAGGAATGTTCTGCTCTCTTTGATGCTTGAAATAAAATTCATTTAGTTAATTAAATTTGCTTTGAAATATATCTGTGATGTGATGATCTATTTTTGTGGAAGTCTTCATGAAAGTTTAAGTTGGTCTTACTGATGACACCGAGTACTTGGGATAATGTGTTCAGTATTGATTGGTACATATTCCCATGATTACTCGTTGAAAGAAGTGTGAAGTTTGTCTTCAGTTTGAGATTGAAGCCATGTATTTGGAAAAATGTAAGATAGTTTAAATTTGAAATTTTTATATTATTGAGAGTCTAGTTAAGACTTTGCTCAGGTGATAATGAGGCTTGTTTGGTTTGTGTTACAGGATTGCTCTGCACTTGCTTTCTTGTTGGACAAATTACTACCAGTGAATGATAACCCAGTAGACAGAGAATGCTCAGCAATGGCAAGAATGCTGATTGCAGCGTTGGCCTCATGTAATCATTCACCAGATGCCCAGACTGTTTTAGTGACAGAGGTGATGATAGTAATCGTTTTAGTGTTGTTTGATTTGGTAGCAGAGTGACTTTTTCAGTGTTAGGCACAAAGCTCTGTTTCCATAATTGTAGAAGGTTACAAAAATATGTACCATCATAATTTAATATTATTGTCTGTTTATCATGTGGCTTATTTGTTACTTTTTATATTGTAAGCTGTATATCCATTGCTAGGGAACAGCTAGGTATACATGTTCCTGCAAAGAAAAATTCTTGGCCAACAATAGGTAAAGGGCTTTCCATTGCTAGGCAACGAGCCGCAAACAAGTTTCGTCAACAATAGAGGTTGTGCTTTCTATGTGGTCCATGCCGAGCCTATGTAAGAAGCAGTGCAGGCTGTTCAGAAGGATTCGTCAGGAATATGTCATTCATGGCAGTTCGGTAGTTAATGTGTTAACCTTGAGAGAATTATAATTGTGTGTCTCATGGATATAGCACTCGTGAATGTATAATAATGAATTGTAGTTATGACGTGTGAAATATCCAGTAAATCGAGTTATAAAATCTGGAACCTGTTATGTACTGTTGCATTGTCAGGATACGCGACAATATTTAGCCTTTCATTCCTTGGAAATACAGTCACTTTGTTTTGGAATAAAGGTGTTACAGCTCATTTGGTTTCTAAAACAAACTGCTTCTGTATTCTGGGATATAGTGTCACGTAGTCTGTTGAAAGTCTACTGATATTTTGAAGGAACACCTTGAAAATAGCAAGCAGAGCTCATGTTGCTCTGCATCACACAGGTTTTTGGGCTTCGTTTATTCTTCAACACTGAAGATTTAGGTGACGTGTTTCTCAGAAACTTCAGTTGGCTTTCAACGGACTACATGGCATTATATCTCAGAAGATAGAAATCTTCATAACCACATCTGTGAGAACCTCAGATTCTCCAAAACAACTTATACTAGCTATATTTATGCACATATTGCTCATCATCCATATACTTTACATACATACTTTATGGTAAAGAATATGGTGCTTAAAAGTTTTAATTTTATTTTTGTCAGCTTAGGTGTTAATGTCACTATTTCATTTCACATCGTTTTAATAATTTGCAGGTTAAAGGTGCGTTGCTGCGAACATTAGCTCTTCCTGAGTCAGCTGACAAACATGCCCAAATTCAGCTGTTGGCAGGCTTGATCTCAACAATGATAGATAACTGCCCATCAACACCCAACAACACTCCTCTTAGTGCCTCATTGAAACTCCACCAATACAGGTAACTACACCATATCTTGTATACAGGTTTCCAAGACATTTGTGTCACACTCTGACTAAAATAATTTTTATTTTTCACATAATGGTTGCCTCATCTTTTTTCTTATTTGTGACCCATTGTGTAGTTCTCTGCATCACTTTTTTTTTTAATTCTAAGCTTGTTTCATATAATTGTAGCATGCACTACCATATTTAGCTCTACTAGTACTGCATTCCTGCCATTGTTGTGAGTTCAGTCTGAAACATGTGCATCATATACCAGGCCATTGTGCAGTATTTAACCCTTTTGCACTCACCCTATTTCCCAAGTATCTGGCCTTAACACTCAGGCAAATTTGGCTCAGTTAACAAGTCTTTCATAAACAGTTTACCAAAAATATGATTTTGGTCAAAGACATGAAAAAATCACACTTATTCACTATAAACAGCAGATGCGAACAAAAATAGCCTACAAATGCTAACACCGTAAATAATTTGAAAAAATAAAAACTGAAAGAATTAAATATATAAATTTAAAATTTACATAAATTAGGCAAGAAATAAAATTGTCATTTTGGTCTTTTCTTTTCACCAAGCTTGTAAGGAAGAGAATATTTTTCTCTAAATTTTGATGTAGGTTACAAGAATTAAGAGCTGTGTTTCAGAACATATCACATTATGCAAAACAGTGGATATGTAACTTTTGCAGTTAGCACTTTTGTTTAAGGAAGCATTCTCCAGGGAACCCTTTGTTGCATCTGGTGAGTACTGTTCTGGCTGTCCACCTGCTCTTCTTTGTGCTGCAGACAGTGCATTGGGACTCTCCCTTTTCAAGGAGCTTTCTGAATCCTTATGTTCCCTGAGGTTCATCTGCTCTAGTGTTGTCCTTAAGCACTAACCACTCCTCCCCCAAACTTTCGATTGTGGACACAGTGTAATTTTCCCTGGATTTCAGTTTGCCAGGTCTCCTGTAGTTTTCCTTTTAGAGAATGTAGCTATTCAACACCATTATGGTTATGATGTTGAAAGCTACATTTTTCCAATAACGTGCTGTGTGCCTTTATCCAAATAAATGAACAGCATCATGTGTGAAGGGTAGATGCCACCCATAATCTTGTTGTAGATGTGATGATCTTCGTTTTTATTTGTGTATTATCACCATGTCTTCCCCATACTTTCCTCTTCTTGGGCTGTGGCATGGCTGGAGAGAATGAAAGGATTTATTTTTTTATATCTTTGCAGAAAAAGACTTCTGTGATTTGGGGACCAGATCTGCAATACATTTTTTTTTTCCAACTGCAAGTTTGTTCTTGAACTGCTGGGGTAAACATTTCCTATTCCTCCTAACAGTTCCAGTGATGTAGGTGCTTAGCTGATGGAGATGGTAGGGAAGTGGAACAGAGTTCCAAGAATTATCGAGGCTGGTTTTTCAAACCCAGAACAGTGGGTAGCCTCCCCAGATTTTCCTAAGTTGTTCATAGCTTCTGGTACATAAAGGCTCTGTTAACTCACTTTTTGTTTCCATCTTGCACCATAATCAAGCTTATTTCAGTCAAAATTTTAGTCAATGGGAAATGTTCACAGTAAGATACTCTCTGAGCTTTCTCTATAGTCCAGTATGTTGTTTCTATATGAATTGTCTCTCTTGGCTGATAAAGGGAATTTGAATATTTGTGTGTGATTTTGTTTTGTGATGTTTAAGTTTGTCTCTCTTGGCTGATAAAGGGAATTTGAATATTTGTGTGTGATTTTGTTTTGTGATGTTTAAGTTTGTCTCTCTTGGCTGATAAAGGGAATTTGAATATTTGTGTGTGATTTGTTTTGTGATGTTTAAGTTTGAAAGGGTTCAGTCCTAATTATAGCAAATATGCAAAGCTTGAAGTACTCATAATACATTTCTATGATGGCAGTGCTTTGTGAAAGAGCTAAATAGGAACACAATATGGATTGACATTGTTCACCATTTTAATAAACAGAGTTTGTGTGGTCATGTACTCTGTGTAGTTAATGATAAGTGACACAGAGAGAAATGAGGAACACAGAGAATGAATATTCAGAATATCCTTGAGTAGTTTTGCCAGGAATGGTGGCAGGTATATTGTTTAATAGGGTAATGATCAAGGTGAAAGCTATATCAAGTTCTTGGTTCTAAGATAATGCTAAGAACAAAAATATTTTATTATGCTTTGATATTTGCATGTGAACTGCTTCAGAGAGGAATAAATATTCTGTACTCCATATAATTTTCCTAAACCTTCGTGCCATATTGTGATGCCATAATTGCAGATTATGTGTGTAACACTTTTCAGATATTATGAGAGCCCATTACAATGAACATCCTTACTAATTTTATAAATTGTCATTATGTAGATGTTCCACTGTATTAAAGGAATTCAACTTAACATTCAAATTCTTGCTGAATCACATTTTATACTCAAGAATTGAATTACTTTATATTGGTATGTTCATTGGTGATGAATGATGTTATGTAATTTTGAACTTTTTTATGTACGATGGGGTACCCAAAAGAAACCGAACTAATTTTTTTGTGGGCAGAGCTTTTGTAGTACCGCGTTTTGCCGCTATGAGCACATAGAGCTAACATTCCTGAGTCGATAAGCCGACTACCGTTGCTTCAGAAGGTAAGGACTAGTTTCGGCAGAGTTTATAGTGACAACTGTTTTGTGTGATCATCGATTTTGCAATGGCTTATTTTCGTGAACAGCGTGCGGAGGTGAAATTCTGCTTTTTGCTCGGGAAAAGTGAACAGAAACTCTTGAAATGTTAAAAACGGCGTACAAGGACGATGCTATGGGGAAAACTCAAGTGTTTGAGTGGTTTTCCCATTTCAAAAATGGTGAAATGTCAGTTGATGACAAACCTCGTTCTGGTCGTCCTTCCACGGCCCGAACACATGAAAATGTTGAAAAAATTCGTGAAATCATCAAGGAAGATCGACGACGGACCATTGAAGAAATTGTGGAGCTGTCGGGAGTGACTTGGAGCTCAGCGGCCAGATTTGTGGCAGTCGGGTGACTGGTTTTTCCATCATGACAATGCCCCTGCTCACACAGCCCTGTCTGTACGACAATTCTTGACCAAAAATGGTATGACCCCTGTTCCTCACCCTCCATACTCACCCAACCTTGCCCCGTGCGACTTTTTTTTGTTTCCTCGAATGAAAAGAGACATGAAAGGAAAAAACGACGGAGGCGCTGTCAAGCATCTCAAAAGATGAATTTAGACAATGTTTTGAAAAATGGAATAAAAGACTAGACAAGTGTATTAGTGTAAGTGGAGAGTACTTTGAAGGGGATTGAAGGTTTGTGCTTAAAATTTGAATAAATAAGTTCAAAAAAAATAAGTTCGGTTTCTTTTGGGTACCCCTTCGTACTTGATATTTATTTTTTTTACATTTCATTGTATACCAAATTTTCTATTGTGTAAGTCATCGTTCTTCAATGAAGAGTACAGTGTGGCTACTAAACTCATGCTTGAGACAGTATATCTGGTTTTATGCTGGAATGGCAAATTCATTTATCTTATTATTGGATAATTCCTTGCTTGTTGTAAGTAGTGAAGTTATTTAAATGAGTGTGTACTATATGTTCTTCACTAGTCCAGTAAATATGTAGAACAATTACTGAATTGTTGCAGTAGTCATATGAACAACATCGTGCGTATCATGCTCAGGAAGGGGATTCTTACTGACTTGGCACGAGTTTCACATTACTTAGACCTGTCTAGTCCGAACATGCCAGCATCTGTGAATGCTGCTTTGAAGCCACTGGAGACATTGTCTCGAATAGTGAACCAGCCAACTGCAGCAAGTAACAACAAGGTTGGCAAGCAGAAAGCTCAAGGAAGTGTGTCAGAGGAGCCAGCTGGTGATCAGACAGGTCCAGTATACAATATTTTTACAAAGATACAATGAAGTGTCATCCATTTGACTGTTCCCATGTATCTGTTACAGTTTTGACATGCTTGTATAAGTGTTCAAAGTTTACTGCTTTTTAACATTAAGTACATCACACTCTCCTTAATAAAATATTAATCCCATGCCATAAAGGTGGAAGCTTATGTAGAAGTTCCTCGTATAACTATCATGACATGTCCTTCTACTACTAGTTTCAAATCAGTTTTATACAACAGCTATTTCTACACAGTTTGAGTGGGTTATAAAACAGTGACATTTTAGTATAGTAACATAACTTATGTATTGTGTTTGTAGGTCGTGATATATTGACAGGCACAACTACATCTGAAGCCACTCATGCACAAGGGGAAGAAACTGTAGAAGATGCAGAAAACACTGAGCATGACATATCAGCTGCAGCAGAGAGCCTGGAACCAACATCTGAGAGTCAGGTTCAGGAAAGTGCTGATGATGAAGCTGGCTTGGAAGATATTATGGAGCAGTTGCTAGATAGGTATGTTTTAGTATGAAATCTGTCATCTCATTTTTGTCTCTTTGGGTCATTTAAATTTTGTATCATATAAATATCTTTCACAGCATTTACTTTAAAATTTGTTTTGCATGTTATTTCTCATGTCAGTGTAACCCAACTTGTCTCTTTGCTATCTTGATTGGTACATTTGGTGATTTCTGTCAGTAATTCTGACAAATGCCAGAATCACTGCTTTACGCCACTGTGAATTTCAGTCCTCCAGTAGTTGCTCAGAACCAAGACACTGATTCTCTTTTTTTCAAATTATTATAATTTGTCTATAGTTCTTTCTGTTCATAATGGTTTTAAGCAAGGAAATGACTTGTAGTCATAGCTTCTCAACTTCAGTATACCATACTAGGAAGATCCATGAATGTAGGAGAGATTCAGATTGAATGGGACACATCAGCTTTTGGTCTTTCTGTTGGTGTTAATTTGAGGGCAGGGGGGGGAGCTCTGTTGGATGCTAATGAGAAGATTGGTTGGAAAGATATCTGGATGTCAGTTAATCCAGATCGAAATATGAAAGGTTAAATATGCTGCTCACAGTTGAGTACATACTTTAAAAGGCTCATGGGATTTAGAAATGAGGGATTAGAGGAAGAGCACTTTCAGACTGTTGAGGGTAGCTAGAGAGACCGAAACCATTCAAGAAAATAACCAGGATTGGCTTTAGCTAGAGAATGATGGAGACCCTGCATTTCAGCTTCTGACAGAGGAAGAAATTGTTGCAGTGATATTTTTCGTTCATTGTAATGAGCACTACTTATATTATTACATTTTGCATTTATTTATTTTCTAAGTTTTTTGTCTTGTAGAGCTATATTTTTTCATTAATTTGGATATTGGTTAATCTGGATGACCTCTCCCCCTAGTTAATGTGGATTAGTGACAGTTTACTGTATATGTACATGCATGTGTGCGCGCACATTTCATGTTTATTTTGTAATTGTTTTATTATTTTAAAATCTTCACTTCTTTGTGATTTTATATTTAGCTTTAAGAAATATAGGAACTTTTGACGACAGCTGTGTGTTGTAGTGCCTGAATGATGACACCTTGGGGACTGTCATCCAGACAAAACAAGTCATTGACTTTGTATTCCACTTTTTGCCATCTATATGCAGAATCAGTTCATACTCACTCATCATTTTCTCTTTACTGTATATCACTACATGTTTCAGTCCAAACAGATTGTTGTGATGAAGGAATCTGCTGCTTACTGTAATGCTGATCAGCTTGTTTTTGTCATTGCTTCAGACTGATTCTAGATTATGTGGGTTAATGAGCTCTTGCCATGCATTCCTGTTTTTAACAATTCTTATTCAAATGGGACATGACACATGACTACCTAACTACCTGAAAGAGACTGAATGACTGCTGAACAGCTGTTTCTGCCCTTTTATAACAAAACAATGTTTTTTTTTTATGGCTAGTGGGCTGGGACTAAGTCCCTTGTACTGCGGCCACTTCTGGCCTATTGTACCAGCCCCAGATGATAGGTGAGAGTGATTGTGGAGCAGTTGGTGGAATGAAGATTGGCAGGGGAAACTGAAATACTCGGAGAAAACCTGTCCCAGCGCCACTTTGTCCACCACAAATCCCACTTGATCAGACCCAGGATCAAACCCGGGCCACTGCATTGGGAAGCCAGCGACTAGCTGCTTGAGCTATGGCGTGGCCCCTAACAAAACAATAAGACATGACATTACTTCACATTCCTACTTTTCCCAACTTCCTGAACTTCAACAGTGCTCTTGACAATAGTGACTCAATCTGAGACGAACTATGGGAACTAAGAGGTATTTTTGACTTCCTGAATGCTGAATACTTAAAATATTGCATCTGTTGCAGGGGGAGGAAGATTTAAAAAAATGCATATCCAAGGGGGACACATGTTTCTGAATAAAGGTCTATGAATCATGTGTGATATCTGATTAAATTCCAGGAGCATAAAATCAAAATTTCACAATATTCAGTTGATGTATGCTACCATTCCATTCAGAACCTCATGTCTTCTTGCTTGCTCTCCTAAAGTGTTAAGGATAAAATATGAGAGACTAATTTTTCACGTAGTTTCATTTGGGCATGAAAATTGGTCTCTCTCATGTTGGGAAGAACATAGATTGAGAGTGTCTGAGAACAGGGTGCTGAGGAGAATATTTGATGTGAGAGAGAGAAAATAAATGGAGGCTGGAGAAAACTACTTAATGAGTTTCATAATTTGTACCCCTTCAAGGTATTATTAGAAGGCTCAAATCAAGGAGTATGAAATGATAATAGCATGTAGCACAGATCAGAGAGAAGTGAAATTCATATTAGATTTTGATAAGGAATACCTGAAGGAAGGAGACCAATAGGAAACATAGGTGTAGATGAGAGGATAATATTGTGGCATGATGGCTGACAACCGGAATAATTTAACAAGAAAAATCGTCCTATGTTAGGCAGTAGTTAAACATGCTCCCACAGTAACGGATATGAGTGCAGCAGTGGAAGAACTGTTGAACATTACTTTTTCTGTGCTGTGCATGCCTAATTAATGAAGAAACCAGCCAAGTCAACGGTTAGTCATGAATAAGATTTAAAAATTTGTGACAGTGGTACATTAATACAAATATTATGTTTCTGGACATTATCTAGTGTCCTGTTCTTATTTAAAAACAGCATTTTGGAGTCTGGAATCACTCTATCTTCAGGTAAAACTTACTCAGTTGGGCCCAATCAGTAGAGCTAGTCTCTGAAATGTTGTATTTCTCAATAAAATAATGCAGTGTTTTAGATAAAAACAGGACGATGAATAATGTCCAAAAACATAATATTTGAGTTAGCCATGAGTTTCAAGTCAGAAATTGACAGTCAGAAGCAGTATGTCAGTGTCGGCAGTTTCAGGTCTTGAGGTGCATAGTTAGATGTAGTTACCAAGCAACAAGTAGTGCATGCAGCCGTGATTTGTAGAGTATGTAGAGTTGTGTGAGTGTTGTAATCATTTATAGTTATGAGTTACAAGCATCTCACTAACATGTGACAATATTAAAGTGATTCTTAAAAAAATTAGGATTGGGATGTGGACTGCATCCGTCTGGCTCGGGGCCAGTGGCGGGCTCTTGTGAACACAGTATTGAACTTCTGGTCCCTTAACCCTTTTGCGCGGTCATTTAAATTCCGCTGCCGTGTCTCTCCGGCGGTAATATATTCAGCCGACCATTTAAATTTTGCTCGAAAATGATTTATTAATCATTGTTCTTAAATTATATGAAA